TCTGATTTAAGTACTAACGCTTTCTTATCTGCATTCAAACGTTTTTTATCTCGCCGTGGTGCAGTGTCTTGCATGTATTCTGACAGGGGATCAAACTTTATAGGTGCTAAAAATAGTCTGTCTGAATTATATAAATTTTTAGAATCTGAAAACTTCCAATCATCTTTTGCCAATGAACTTGTTAATCACCGTATTGAGTGGAAGCTTAACCCTCCGCGTAGTCCACACTTTGGTGGTCATTATGAAATTTATATAAAGGCATTTAAAACGCATCTTTACAGAGTAATAGGTACTCAACTGCTTACATATGAGGAGTTGTTAACTGTGCTTACGCAGATTGAATGTGTAATAAATTCAAGACCAATTACCCTGCTTAGTGATGATCCATCGGAACCTAGCGCGTTAACGCCTGCACATTTTTTAATGTCCAGCCCATTAAAACAATTGCCGACTTATGACGTATCATTAGATTCAAACAATTTACGTAACAGATACTCTTTAATGGACCAAATGTTACAATCTTTCGCAAAACGATGGAAGCAAGAATATTTACATTTACTTCAATCCAGAACAAAATGGAATACTAATTCTAATCCAATCTGTATTGGTTCTGTAGTAGTCATTGTTACTGATAACGTTTCCCCGCTTCATTGGCCTCTTGGTGTCGTTGTTGCTACTCACCCAGGCAAGGACGGTGTCATAAGAGTTGCCTCTGTGAAGACTTCCACAGGCGTTTATAAACGACCCGTCGTTCGTCTTTGCACTCTACCATCTCAATAGCTTAACCATTAATCTAATTGTCCTTTCCCCGCTGTTCATATTTGCTTACTAGTTTTTTAAAACCGAAGGTTTTAAGGCGGGGGGCAATGTTCATGCCAACCTTAGGCATTCATAGTTCATAGATTTAACTTTTCATTTTCTACCCACTTTTAGTTTATAAGAGTTACCGCTCGATATATCGCTGCATTCTACAGTCTACGAATTGACGGCGACTCAACCAGATGCGTACTCGCTAATCCTGGTTTTCCCGCTTTCTGGAACTTTCTATATTCGAAAGACTGCTATTCTTAGGGTTTATACTCTTTATGAACCTACCGCTCGTGCTGTGAACATAGTGCTGTGTTTTTCAGTGCTTAAAACATACGCTGTTGTGAAGTGAACGCTTAATTATCCGCTGTCTTGGCTGATATTAGCCGAGGCTGGTCCTTCATTATCTCGCTAAATCGTCGTGGGCTGTTGAGGCTGAGGAAGAAGTCTGCAGTGACATTACCCGGGTAGTGCCGGGTCAGTGCGGTTGCTGAAGGTGAGTTGCTGTTTTACTTTCGTGGTAGTAGTGTGCAGCGATTCCCGTAGGATATCTATCTCCTCTTCAACAGATAAGTAAACTTATACTACCTATGGTGATACCCAAATTAGTGCTGGGTAGAATCTATGAACCTTATTGCTAGGTTTAGCGCCCACAGCTCCCTCGTATTAAAGATTTGGTTAATAAATAATTAGTAACTCCATTTTATAGTATCAATATATTTTTTATATAGAAATTATACATTAATTAAACAATCATTAACTCGAATTAATTAATATACAATATATTTATTATACTTTGTCTTTTGTCTAATAAAAGCATAAAATAAAACTTAATAATAACTACTACGAAAATCTTCTATTTATTCCCACAATAATGAAGACATTAAAAATAAAAAAAAGCATTTTTTTTATTGTAAAGATCACTAATGCTCCTGTAGAATATTTTTTTTGCAAAATTTAATGTAACTTTTTATGTCCTCAGCTGTTAGCGTCAGCCCACTGTGCGGCCGTACCTCCTGTTACCTGGCACCGACGCCAGCGCCCCGCACACCTCTCCTCTTAAAAAAATTTACGATTCACATCACTATAATATCTCGCCATACAAATCATTTTGAGTCGACAAGACATTGTTTAAAATCAAAAGTAAGCATTGCGATGAAGTAGTTTTTAATATAAGTTTAAAAAAACAACTTTAACATAACTTTGAACTTAAACGTGGGGTTAGGCGGTTACTGTACGCACTGCAACAGGTTGTATCATTGCATGATACTACAAATCCTTTTTAGGGTATGTTACCGATATCCATCTCATATTTTCTTATAAATTAAAACGCATGACAATAACTCAGGTGTTTTAATGGGTAAAGTTTATACAGTATAAAAATATAAAAACATTTAAATATTTCCTGGGAATGCCACGTGACTCTACTTTTAACTTTTGTCGGGTGAACGCAACAGGTTGATTTATATCCCGGTAAAACTAAGTTACGTTTCCTTGAAGAGAGTTTGAATTAGTAGTAAAATACAGTTTTAATTCGTCACAATGTAGAAGCTTTTACTACATTTTACATAGGGGAATCGTACTACTTAAAAAAGTTACTTATGTGTTTATTTTCAATAAGGTACTTCAATTAGGAAATAAGATTTTAATTCTTTAATAATAGCTATATCACATGAAATAAATAATTTCTTCTTCAAGTGAACTCTACATTTATATTTTGCTAGTCATAAGACTGACTGTTTGGATTGGACAGTTTAATTACGATTGAAATCAAAAAGAAAAAATATTTTGATTTAAGAAATGTATTTATTTTATTGAGAAGTAGGAAGTACCTAATCCGCGTATGAGGTAGTTTGTTTTCTACGTATTTGTTTTTTGGTTCTACATTTTTGACGTCATCGACTTTTTCTCAAATAATATTCTCTTAATAGTTCTCATAATTATGCAAAAAGCTGATTCTTAACTCACAGTAATGTCATCTAATATTATATTAATAAATGAAAGAAACGATCTCTAATAAAGTACTTACTCATTAACTACCTATAAGTCTATTAAACATTTTTATTAAGCGCCGTAACTCTTTAACTCATTTATTACGAAACGTCAATAAATAAATAAAGTTTCGTGCATTAACCCGTAAAACTAGTTTTATTCATTTATTAATCATAGGGTGCCCATATAATAGGTAAAATACCTTGTATATTTTTATGCCGGAAACCTGTCACTAGATTTTCTGAACTTAAAAATCTATTTTTTTATATCCAGGGAGTTTATTTTTCTCCTTATTGGATCACCAAGAGTTACTACATCAATACATCGTATGATTACAATTTTACATTTAGTGATGTAATGCGTAACCACTTATAGGCGAACTCAGAATGCATTAAATTAAGCTAAAGCAGATATTATTTAATTAAAATTAAAATTAAGTGTGTGTGTGTGCACTTCGTGTTATTATCTACTATATAAAAATAAGTCGGGTTTTCCTTCCTGACGCTATAACTCCAGAACGCACGAACCGATTTCCACGGTTTTGGATTCGTTGGAAAGGTCTCGGGCTCCGTGAGGTTTATAGCAAAGAAAATTCAGGAAAAATTAAAAAAAAAAACTTCTTTTAATCACCAAACGAAATGTTACATAAAACGAAGCCATCTGGTGGCGAAACGGAGTTCGCGGGGTTTGCTAGTTTATTATAAATGTTTCAATTTTTTTTATGAATTTGGAGAAAATATGTGATCATACAATTTGTTTCGCAATGACATCATATAGTCATGATATATGTCGACAATGTCACTATATTTGCTTAGAGTATAGCATAATTTCGCAACGGGGGATTTGAAACCATTTAATATCGTTGGTTGGAACCGAGTACCTTTCTTCTCAAGAGTGGACAAACCTATAAGAGGTTTGTGCGGTATTTTAAATGGTGCTCGGAAATTGAGGAGTGTTAGAAGTTGCGGAGAGTCAGCGGTGTTGTTTACTTTTAAAAATATAATATCTAGTAATTCCCGCCCGTCTGCCAAGGACAACATTCCAAAATATCTTAGCCTTTCAGTGTAAAACTCAAGTTCCTTAGCTTTGCTAATGGAAAATACCAAAACTCGCACAAATCGTTTTTGTAGCCTTTCTATGTCGAGGGAATTGGTGGCATAGTGAGGTCTCCATACAACACTACAGTATTCCAACATAGATCTGATAAGACTGTAATGTACATAGATTTTTTTTGGGTTTCGAAATGGTTTGGTACTTCTTATTAAGAATCCCAGTAGTCTTTTAATAATGTTTTCTATATTGGGTACATATGTCAATTTGTGATCGCAAATAACACTTAAATCCCTAATTCTCTATGGAATTGGTGTAACTTCAACACGAAAGTCAAAATTATTTTTTGTTTTATTATCGTGTAAAATTGACAAGAAAACATTTTCCATGATTGAGGTTCATCCGGTTTTGATTACACCACACCACAAGCCTATCTAAATCTGACTGCAAATCGGACATAGTAGTCCTCGTACCCATTGGGCATGTGGGCAGCGTATGACTGAACCCTCATGAAGCCTCACGAAAAAGATTTGGTGGAAGCCTTTTCTCAGCAGTGGGCGTACTTCGGTACACATGACGATGATAAATCCTTCTAAAACAGATTATAAGAAAAGAACGTTTTGTTTTTTTTTATTACTGTTCCGAAAGTTCAAAGTTACCCCTGTGAGTCGGGTGTCTATCTATGTTGCAAAACTATCTACTTGGTTCATTTCTACTTAAAGGTGTTGTTATTATAATACAAGTTAGGTATTTATTACCACCATCTGAATGATGTACCAGAGAAGTTAAAATTCCGTGGCATTTCGCTCTACATTTCACTTTTTATAATTTAACACAAATACTTACGAGCAAAGACACAGCTGTAGTAATTGTAGAGTCATGCAGTTTTTACATTTTCTTCAATAAAGAAACAATAGTAGCTAAATCTAAAGAAAATTTCAGTTGTCTCCAGTCCGTAATTTTGTTTAGATTTAGCTATCACCTCTGGCAATAATTGTTTTTTTTTTCTCGTTTGTCCCCAGTGGGAACGAAGCCAGTGTTGAAGATTAGGATGAAACCGGAAAATTCTAGAAACGTTTCCTCTAGGTCGAGGTTTTAGGCAGGATACTGAAATGTGAAGATTTTTGTGATACTTTTTCGATAATCTTATAATGGTCCCATCTCGCGTTATGTACAAAGCAACAGCAACAGTTAAAGATAGAGTAAATTTATATCAATAAACGTGTTAACAGATAACTGTGTTTTACTTATGTAAGCCTTTATCATACTATTGGTATCAGCGCAATCATTCGATAAACGTATGTAACCTTGAGGTATTATATTAATATAATTTCAAAGTTGCATAATAACCTAAATATATGCAGTGAAAACAAAAAACTTACCCCTTTATGGGGCAAGAGTAAAACAATTTTCAGCTACATCTTTTTAGGTTCCTTGTATGTAAACTTGATCTTTTGCCACTGTTTTGTTTCAATTAACATAAATTAAGTCATTTTAACCAGATTTTCTCTGTTTCCTCCATTCAAAATTCTCAGATACGAAATGGTTTTCATTTAAAAGGATATAAATGTAAGTGAAAGAGAAAAGTAAATGTTCTTTTATTTGGGAAACTTGAGACTGTTAATGCACATAGTATAGGAACACCAGATTTCGAATGGGAATATAAATTATACATACACATCTGATTACCGCATGTTATAGAAAAAAGTTCGTATTATATTTTTCGTTGCTTTATATTTATAACACTTTTGGTATTTATGTTTAAAGAATAAATAAAACAAACATCAAAAATGTTTACAAAGTGACGACAAACATGCAGTCAACACACACAAAGCAACTGACAACGTACACCGAGTGTGACTTTACAAATGCTTTCATTTTATTATTCTATTGAAGTCAATTTAATGTATAGTAGATAGGAGAGGTCTGTCTAGTAGGACACAATCAGTGCGCAGAATGCGACGTATCCACACAATCTTGCCAGAAAAAATCATCTGTCCTTGCCATACAAAAGTGTGATATTTAAAAAAAGTTTTTATCACTTTTAATTCGGACTGCGTCACATAAAGACTCATGAGATCGTCGTTGGATCGTTGGATCATTTAGTTTGCGAGTTTCAAACAGTATCTGTGGTGTTGTTTGTGCGTTGTTTTTATTAGTTGAAACATTGTCGTTACAATCTGTAAGTTGAATATTTTTTTGAAATTATGGATCATAGATAAAATATTTATCTAATAAAATTTCAATGATGTTAACAATAGATAACTAGTTACATTGAGATTGTAAATTTAGATTCAAGTGTGTTATAAACATATTTTATTGTATTTTCTCACAGTTTTTATTATGAAATTAAATGCTATTTGATTTCTTTTAGCAGAGAGAAAGCTAGATCACAAGGTTCTTTTTTGATATAAAGTAAAAAATATCAGTTATCACGTTAAATTAATATGCTTATATACAAGCATTTTATAGTGTTGGATAATAGCAGATTTATTATTCGTTTCCTAGTTACGTATAGGTTCCGTACTTTAAGGGTAAAATCGGGACTTTATTGCTGTCACTCTGTTGTCTGTCTGCCCGTATGTCAAGAGTATCTGTCCATATGGTAGATTGTAAACAGAATGCGTTACAGAAGAATGAGTTATAAAAAGTCAAATACTTATTTAGTTCAAAAAATTAAATTAATTTACATTATAGTTTTTATTTGCTTGCATGTAACTGCTTGATGTTTAAATCTAAAGAAAACAGTTATATTTTCTTTAAATTATCATGTTTCATACAGGAAAAAGAGGATATGTTTTCTTTTTTATCTAACATTTTTACCCTAGCACGTGACAATTTATTGCTTAAAGTTGAGTTGGATATAGGAAATATAATTTTCAATAACAAAGAAATGGTGAGCTGTCCACGTTGTAATTTTTATGACATTTTTGTTACAAGGTCTACCTCAAAATCGAACGGAAATCGGGAAATTGAATCGACTAGTTAAGAGTGTGAAATTTTCTCAAGGAATCAGAAAATGCCGATTTATAAATGTACCTACTTTGTAAGTTGTGGCGAAAACAAAAACATTATTTTTACTTTCACGGTTTGTTGCGATTTTCCATACAAAAGACGTGATTTTTTGGCATGTTTTTGCTCGATATTATAATATAGTGTCTTATGTTGCTTGAAAATAATTCGTGAGCGATTCCCGCACTTGGCCTAAACTGTTCATTATTCATAAATGAAAGTGCTACACGCTTAGTAGGTATTTCACAAAAAGTAAGTTATAGGTAATCAAATATTTTTAATCGTCAGTAGGTTGATTGGTACTTAGGTAAGTTACTAATTAGATAACTTTCGCATATCTAAGTATGAGATATTTAGTACCTATATACAAACTAACAACCTTTTGAAGTCTTTATTTTCCTTTAAGATAATTCAGTAAAATTAGTTTTCATTAATGAAATAAAACAATGAAAACTATTATTTTTATTTTTCCCGCCGAAGTGAATTCAAGATGGCGGCAGGTTTGGCGCGATGGTGGCGGGAAATGTTGCGGAAACGGCCAGTGCTCACCAACACTGTGGTCTATGGTCTTTTCTACACGGGTGCCGAGTTGTCTCAACAAACATTCAACAAAATCTACACGGTGAGCTTACTACGCTACGACGATATTAATTCTTTGAAAAGCCTTTTAAACAAACATAAAACAAGATATCGTCATGCGGCATACTTCAGGAAAAATGTTTGATGTATTTTCTAAATTATCTAAATGATTTTTAATGCTCCAAATGTGACCAATTTTTACATTTCCTTTTAAACTTTATATCAAAAATGGGAAACTACGAGTAAAAGGAATTAAAAAAAAAACAGTTATGATTGGGTAAATTCAATTGATCAAAAATTCAATAGTGGCTAAACTAAGAGACAAATCCCATAATTATGTTATTCAAAATGTCATAGGAAGTAAATATTTTCTGTATTGTTGTTGTTGTGTTGTGAATTGTGTATGTAGTCAAAGAAGTAGAAGATATTAAATGTAAACCAAATGACTGTATTAATTTATTTAAGTAACATTTAATTGACGTCCCTTGGTGTATCCGTTAAGTTTGAGAATCTATACGGTTTATTTACCATATTAAATAAATTGACTAAAATTATTTCTTCATAATATAATCTTGACTAATCTTTATTGAAAAAAAGCACTGTTAGTTAAAATTGATATAATAAAGTAATAAAAATGCTTTTAGCATTAATGTAAAACAAAAAAAAAACAGTGTAGGTAATCAAAATGTTGTCTGCATTAATAAAAAAGAAAGAAAAAATATATAAAAAATCAACTTGGCAGCGGTGGGATTCGAACCCACGCCTCCGAAGAGACTGGTGCCTTAAACCAGCGCCTTAGACCGCTCGGCCACGCTACCGATGAGAGAGATGGTCGTAAATAGTGAACCGTTTCTATGAATGGGCACGTCACGACATGTATTTTTAGAAGCGGAAATCGGTCAATAACACGATAGTATGATAATAATATTGAAAAGAAAAGCATTTAATATGACTCAAAACTTTTATAAACAAAGAAATAAGTAGGTAAGCGTTTTTTATTCATTTTATAGAAGGATTTAAAGAAAATTGCCGATAAAAATTAAGATTGAAGTATTTTTGAATAAATTCTGTGACAGTATTACTACTGCTTTTTAATTTCTAGGGGCTACGGTAATGATGTCTAATTAATTGACCATACTAATAAAACTAAATCTAAGTATAAATTATCTCAATCTCTCTGTATTGTTTATCATAATATCAAAAGTAGATTACACTATAAGTTTCCGGAACTGGCCACTTACAATAAAAATAATTTAATATTTTTTGACCTATGAAAATGGAACTCTTTGGCGTTTGAATTCTTTTGTTTCATTTACAATAAAATTTTCAGCCTGATAAACCAGATGTGGATTTTGCCGCGGCAGCCAGAATCGTAACTGCTGGATGTGCAGTTTATCCCGCTTCACTATATTTTTGGTAAGTGAAGCTCTTTATTTTGAATAATGAAAACGCTTATAATGCGATTCAAATAAGAATAGGATAGCCAATGACCTCCATCTGTCAAATGTCGCGTGAAAAGCACGGTTTGCAAAAAAATCTTGGAACCCGTTTTTAGCACTCAGCTAATTCTAGAATAAAAACCAAACATTTGTAAACCAACAATAACAAATATTGATAATTAATATTGTTTGATATTTTTTTTCATTTATTGAGCTTTGGCTATGACTAGTTGATAACCCAAATCGTCAACCAAATGGTACTTTAAGTTGCGTTCATAAACTCGATTTAAAACTTTTGTTTACTTAAAGGATGCATTTTCTTATATGACCTAGTAATAGTGCATGATTATTCATAACTACTCCGGCGGTAATGCAGAGATGAGCGGAATTGAAGAGCTAGATTCTGATAAATGTTTTTTTCTCACACAGTCTTAATAAATAAATATTATTTAAAATCGGTTGTTTTTTTTCTCAATCTTAGTAAATAATTTTTATTAAATAAATATGATGTTTTTTCTCCCTTCATCTTGGTAAATAAATTTTATTAAATAAAAGCTTTCTTTTGCTCACTCTACCGATTTGGTTTGAATTGACATCTATCTGGTCTAAGGGGTTTTTTAAATATGTTTTACGGCTCTGGGTCTGGTCTAGGTTCATTTCAGTGTTGCTATTATTTTCGTGATAAGTACAACTGCTTAAGACTCTTTGAAATTAGAGCAATGTATTGTTGTCTTTTATTAGCATGTATTTAGTGAAAGCGTATTCGATCATGTACCTACTACGAAAAGGTGAACAGAATAAAGCATAAATTTAGTCGATAGCTGTACAAAACTTATGCGAGTGTAACTTTTATAGAGTTACCATAAGGTTGTTTTTCAATTCTTCTTTAGTGTTGCGATACTAGTTTTGTTAATAGAGCCAAATAGGTCTGTTTGCATTTTACCTATCAATATTAATGTAAATAAATAATGGGGTTTTGTTGAGTACTAGTTAGTTCAATTGTGAGTACTTGTGAACACTAAATTGTCATTAGTAAAGTATAAAGTATAACCCGCAAAAATAAAGGGCTACCTAGCTAACTCCAAATAATTTAGAAACTATATAAGTAAGCTCTTTGAATTAAACCAATGCCAAAGTTGGTGTCGTTAATAAGTTAATTAATATAAAACTGCTGTCATTTACAAAGTTATATTTCATATTCTGTCCTTGTGTATGAGACTGAACGCATCCTTAACGGCTGGAACAATTTTGCGGTACAACATTTTTTTGTTGTCCGAAAGAAAAGCTTGAATTGATGCGGGTGTTGGATTCATAGCGCGGTAGAGAGAGAGGCAGTGGTTAAGCAAGTTTCGCAATAGTCAGTCATTGGACGGGTGACCAAAAATTTATTATCTCAGGCTTCTCCGTGCTTCGAAAGGCACGTCAAGCCCGTCCTTGCGGCATCTGCAGTCGCTAGCACCCACCAATCCGCACTGAGCCCGAGTGGTGGGTCATAGCCCATACTCTTTATTCCATCCATAGCAAAGGCCTGTGCCCCCGCAGTGGGAACATTAATGGGCTGATGATAACGAAAGAGAGAAACGCCTTTAATGCCTGCGTCTAAGACCAAGCTATAGAACTATTCCCATTGATTTGTAATGCCACGGAAATATTTAATTAAATATTAAATACTTTAGGTACAGGTTTTTGGATAAGAAGTTCGTTGGCACGGCCGTGAAGACTGTGGCGACGAAGGTGGCTGCTGATCAGTTCATTGCAACTCCTGTATTGCTTGCTGGATTTTACACATGTAAGTCACCAAAATAAAGGACTAGGTTCTTACTAACCATTATATTGGTTTTCATAGTTTCACAATGGAGAATGATTTGAATGCTGCACCAATTTTTAGATTTTCCCAAACGGAATATTTAGGATTTTGTTTATTTCATCAGCTTACACTCTCAAGGCCTTTATGCTTAATGAAATAAAAAATAATAAGTTTAAATAAATTTTACAATGTTAAAGCTTAGTTAAATCGTTTTGTCTTTTCTCTGAATTTAATTATTTATTAGCTGTTACAGCTTATTTATTTATTTTTTCTTTCATTTAAATAAGGTAATAGAAACCCGTGATAAAATATTTTACTTCAATGAAAATATGCAAAATTTTACCTTTCGAAAATTTTATTTTGGTACTTGTACAATACGATCTTAGCTTACTGTACTTTTTTTAAGCTATTATTATAATCCCCTGTACGATACGATCTCAGCTAAGTGTAATATCCTTTTATTTTTTTTAGAATCTATATATACTTTTAGGTAGTTTTTGTTTATTTTACTTTCAAAATAACGCATTTTTAATGTAATCTCCAGTAATGGGAGTGTTGGAGCGAAAAGAGGATGTGTTTGAGGAGCTCCGAGCAAAGTATTGGAAGACGTTCGCAGCAAACCAAGCCTTTTGGATTCCGTCACAGACCGTCAATTTCTACTTCATACCTTCACACCTTCGCGTGGTCTATGTAGCTTCTGCATCATTTATCTGGATTAACGTCTTATGTTTCATCAAGAGACAGAAAACTGAAAATACTATTGCAGATGTAAAATAATTTTAATATTCAAAAATTTCATTAGTTCTAATAGGCATTTATTTGGAATATGTAGTTATAATTGAGGACGATTCATAAGGGAGTGTTACCGTTGTAAAGTTTACGTATTCTTTTTCACTTGTTTATATGTTTACTTACAAGTTAAGAGTTTCTAAATGATTATTAAAAATGTTAAATTGTTTAATATGTATCTTGTTTAAGGTCTGTTATTTCGATCCCTGTATAAAACGTAGACTGCTAAAATCTTATAAGCACATATTAATAATTTGTGTAAACTTATGTATTCGGTAATTAAATAATCCAGTTTCAATCAATTGATCCTTCATCATAATTAAAATAGAAATGTACTAGGATTAACTACATGCAAACATTTGTGACTATTGCATAATTATCATAATTGGATTAGGACTTGTTGAGACTTTAAGGTTTCAGACGTCTTAGTTGAACATTTCATAATAGGTTTCTTTTAGTATTGTATCAGAGTCTACACCAGCTGGTATACTGAGAATCACTGTAAAATAATAAAATATTGCGTAAGCAGTGAAAAATAAATTGTTTAGTTATACTAAACATTCGCAGTCTTATAGCGTGTGTGCAAACAAAAACATCATCATGATGGGTAATGTAGAATTGGTGGTCAATTGTTCTGTACCTGGAACTCTTTTTCTAAAAAATGTGAGTGACGAACATTTTGTGATGAAGACAAATACCCCTACTAAAGTTAATCAATCGTTGGAAATTTTTACTATAGCCCTTGTCACGATTTTTATTAATACTGTGTTACATTACAGTGTAAGTATTTTTAATATCAATGCCGTTTTTATATTTATTTTCATAGAAATTATGAAAATATTACCCATTTGTTTCAGTTTTGCAAACGACTTGCTCTAACAACGTATGCTAAAAGACTATTCAGCAAAAAAACAATACTAAGAGGTGTTACCCTATTTTTGTTAATACTAACTTTGCCAATTACATCGTTAATTCTAGGATTAGCTTTGTGTTATAAAATGTTGTGCACACTGTTGATTTGGAAAAAAGACAAATACTACGTCGGCCTTTTGGACAGTTTCGATGTTTTCTGGAGCTTAGAACATGATGCTACTATTAACGTACTAGGGGTGATAGAATCTGATTCAGCTGAACTCCTTGTTCATAATATCAAGGACAAGTTAGAAAGTGTTATATCGAAAGCTGGAGTGGATAAAATTTTCTATAGGCGCAATGAAGAATATGGATTTTATTACTGGAGAAGATATAGCATTATTGATGTAAATCAATATGTGGAATTGCTAGATTTTCCAGATAAATTTGAACTTACTGAAATAGATTTGGAAGATATAATGTCAGAAGTGTCGTGCCAATCTTTACCTTATGAAGATGAAGGACTATTCAAAATCTTTGTTACTAAGCAAAGAGTTTGTAATCGTGGTGAGAACAGATGCGCATATGGAATCATATTTATAATACATCATTCTTTAGGGGATGGAGTGGCTCTTATTGAATTTTTATGCAAAACTCTTGCTGATAATGAGGAACGTAATCCGGTTAACATGTTTTCGGTACCAGAACTTAAAAAACATGACACTCCGAGCGCTATTTACGAAATGATAAAGAACTTATGCGAAATGCCTCTGTGTTTCGTTGACACGATTCTTAGGACATCTGACGATAACGGTTTGCATGGTCCAACACTATTTGGAGATAAATTATTTAAATGGACAGAATCAGATGAGAATTTGCTTTTGATGGTGAAAGATATTAAAGAAAATGTCGCCAATGCAACATTTTCAGATGTATTAGTCACTGCTCTGTCTGGAGGCATGCATGACTTTTATACGAAGGTAAATTGTACAATACAGTAGTTTTTAGAAAATAACGTTTATGTAGTTTAATCTAAATAAACAAATTTTAGACCATGGGCCATGTTCCTGACGACTTAGGAGTCGTAATACCAATAAGATTTCCCAAACCTTCATGTATCAACGATGGTCATCAGCTTTTAAAAAACGATTTTAGCGTAACAATTTTAGAATTACCAGTGAAAGAGAAGAGGACCTTCAATGAAATTAAGCGACGATGCGACGAACTGCGTGTTAGTGCTGATCCTTTGGTAAGTGTGTTAGTAGAAATAGATTTCCTATTCTGAATAGTTTATTATTAAGATTTCAAACTATTATGACGTATTACAGTGACAAAAGAAATTAAGTAAATAAAAATATCCTATTCCTATTTTTTTGTACCTCCTACTATATAATATTATATTGTGAAAGTTTGTATGTTTGTATGTCTGTTACTCAATCACACAAAAACCACTGAACGGAATTGGATGAAATTTTGCACGCATATAGTTTATGCCCTGGATTGAGACATAGGATACTTTTTATACCGAAAAAATATCAGGTTCCTGTGGGATTTTCAAAAAACTAAAGTTGATTCGGGGTAAGTCGCGGGCGGCTGCTAGTTGATAATAAAGCTGAGTACTACACAGTTTTTAAAGTCAAACATATTAGAATTCAAAACTTCGCCGTTGCGAATTCTGAACTCTAAAGCTTTGAGTAGAAAACGCCAACAGAATGATCACCTCCAGTTGAAGGACCGATAAAATGTTCATTCCGCGTAAATATCAAGATTTTTTCAGCAATATATAAAATACTACTGTAGAGTTATAATTTCGATGGATTTAAATGTAAGCATTGGGCATTTAGGATAATTCTATATTTATTTTTGTGGATATAACTATAATATGGATGATACTTATCTTTTTTTTCTTCGTCGATTTTTTTTTTGTTTTTCACATAATCAAAACATTGCAGAGATATATTGATTTGAAAAGTCTCATGAAATCATGTCTTGGTACAATTTTTACTCAGAAGTGACATCACGAGCCACCCCACTCCTAAACTTTTACGTGCTTTATCCTTTGTAATGTTTTGGTTATTTGACAAAAGAAAAAATAAGTGCCCATTATTTTATTTTTATTGGATTTATTTTTGATTCACTTTCAATTTGATATTTAATTTTCAGTCCAACCACTACTTCATCAAGCTAGTCAGTGTTTTCCCCAAGCAGTTCTTACAACCCATCCTGAACAGCAGCCAAGCCACGATGGTGTTCAGTAACATTCCTGGCCCTTCCAAGCTCAACATTTGCGGGGGCAATGCACTCCAGAAATTAGTATTCTTCGTGCCACACAAAGGCAACACTGGTGAGTTAACTGCATACGAATGTTTAGAACATGTGATTATATTAATAAAAAAAGGACATTGAACAAAAAAGCGTCCAAAAATTTTAAGCTTTTTTTGTCCAGGTTTCCTACGTGAACTATAAAAATTTACCTTTCATTTTACATTTAAGGCAGAGTTCCCCAAACTTTTTTGTGTCGTAGACCCCTTGCCATGTTTTTCCATGTTGGGCAGACTTACCTGATATTAATTTCCAGTAAATTTCTCACTATGGTGAAGTTTAGTGTTAAAAACTTAAAGCAAAAACACATGTTAATTTATACATTTATTAATTGAATTTAAATTAAAACTACTCAAAATAAAATTTTGTATCTGTTATATAAAATATACGTAGCATTAAATAAACATAAAATAAACTATAAATAAAATAACATAAACAATAAGTCAATATTTTAGTGAGAAGGATGAACCTGATTCTTTAATAATAAATTATCAACATTTGGCGTCAATTTTGAAAGGGTTGACTCGTCCAATTGTATATAGAAATGGGTCGTTTGCAAATAATTACACAAGAAGCTTTCAATTTCAGAACTAACTTCATCAATACGTCTTTCAACAGTATTGTTGCTTAAGGGAATTCTTTTAATGATATCAGATGCAGGTTTGTGTAAAACAGTTCTCTCCGATAGTATGCGGTTTTCCGGATTTTGCTATAAGTAACGAGATATTGTAAGACGCCCTTAACCATCATCATTTCTTTGTGACGTCAAAGCGAACATTCTGTCCAGTGTAGGTCTCTTCTGAAGTTTATCTTTGAGTGTTTGAAAGTATTTCAAATCTTTCTCTGTTTGCCACCCTAAGGTGGCATCTTCTCAGATGATCTTGCAGTTTAGATGGTTTCATAGCGTCATTGCCCAAAACTTTGTTGCATAAAAGGCACATAGGCAATTTTTTGTCCGGCAATGATGGAATGAAGCCAAATTCCAAATAATCAACACTGTACTGTCTACATTTCTTTTTAGATTCGGACATGGCATCAGTCATCTGTGGGCAAAATTAAATTATTTAAATAAGACAGAAAATCCAGCAACTGTATATTAAAAATATTTTTTGATTTTTCCGAAAACATTCCATAATTCGAACATCTTCTTGCAACAATTAGCTCGAATTACGGAAATTGCACTGTAATTAAAATACCGATTGCTTAAACTTTCAAAATGAAACTATTGAGGAGTACTGTACTCGTGTAATTTTGCATGATTGAATATTAAAATACTAATAACTAAAGTCATGATTGGCGGAATTTATCTATCTTTGCTAACTACGAGTACAAAACTAAAATTTAATAAAAAATAATGTACTTACTTTTCTCCAGCACTCTCAAACAAAATAACACTGACTCATTATAATTTGTGTGATATACTGTTTATATTTTTTAAAATATTTTCTTAGCACTTTCCTTTTCAAGATTCAGGAAACGAATAAACGTATTTGTCCCACATTCGTATTTATAGAGTGACGAATTGAACAAGTCAGTGGAAGGTAGGGAAGCTCTGAGACTGCGACTCTCAGGTTTTTACAAGTTCAAAATGTATTGCGACCACAAAGCGAATACCAACATCCTATAACTTACACAATTTTATAAACATAATAATTTTTATACTTCAAAGGTACTTTTATAAATAATGTATATGTTTTGATATTATAAGATAGTATGATGTAAGTAAATAGGTACTATCAGTGTATGTGTTGAGATCCACTATCGTGGACCCTCATTTTCATTTCATGGACCCCCAAATTTTTTTTCGCTGACGTCGATATAGCCCACTTTGGGAATCACTGATTTAAAGAATTCTGTGATTAACATTTTTTCGTTTTTTACGCTTTTTTTACTGTGAATGCTGGTTAAAGTGCTACTAAGTTAATAGAGTCTGTGCGGGAAGAGAATAGGCGTAGCGAAAAACGGAATTAACATTAAGATTTTTATTTGGCAATCAAACCCAGCAATCTGTAAAACGTCAAAGTTTTGTATTGATACGAATTTGTTTATTGTTGTGATTTCTTGCGGTTTTTTGTATAAACATGTCTAAAAGGGGTAAACCCTTACAAATACGGTAGAAAAGCACTACAGCCCCCTCCAATCTAAATCCCATTCTCTTTCCGCACAGACACTACCAGTTCTATCAAGAACTTTATTTATATTTATTGAGCTATCTACTGTTAATTTGCATATTTTTGCAAGGGACAATTTGTTAAGATTCCTGCTAGTCTTTGCAATTTAATATGTCTTTGGTATAACGTAACACCTTCTTCCCGCCCGCATGTGGTTAATGACGTCAAACAAAGGTTCTAAACCACAAACTTACTCGGGTTCTCCACTGTGACGACTTCAAAGACAACCTAAGCTGTAATTTGATACGATATTATCATATAAGTATATTACATACGAGGTGACTCAATATTTTTTCCTGACTTCATATAAATACTCATTCCTGGTCGAATCAATGTATAAACAAACTTTTTTTATTTTGTTTATGGGCTGTTCAGTTATTGTTTTATGAGATTTTTAACTGTATTAATAATTTACACGACGTAATAATTCCCTTGACGATTCAATTAGCATTAAAATGAGACACAATAAGGCCGATATTTAATTATATTTATCCGTTTATCCTCTAAGGTATTGGTAAAGAATCAAAGATGAAGCTTAAAAAATATATAAATATCACTTTCATAGTCACAACTAAACGATGTTTTATTTGATTAGGCACTGATTGGTCTAAGATACTGCCAAGAACTAAGCACTAGAACCTTTGATGCACAAGCATTGATTTGCTTAAAAGGGGACTCCTGCCACTAACTATTGTAAACCAAAACATTTATGAATAAATTATTATTATTATTACTCATTCCCCAATGCAAACATAACACCACCAAAAAGTTTTTCTAGTCATTGCAAAACAATGCTTTTCACATATGGGAAATCCACGGACAGTAGAAACCTGCAGTAACATCAGTGGACTGCTGGGCTTCTTGGAGTAGCTGGGATGGCTGGCCATTACTCAAGCAAAATAGGATCAGAGTGTCGAGTTGCGGAAAACAGCCCACCGTAATATGAAATAGTGTTTTTTTATTTCAATGCTGTCTTCTGTGAGGTGGAGGTTGCTACTACCCTAGATGAGCGCTGCAATTTGAGTAGAAATGTAATTATAGGTACTAAAGATGATTCGATTAGCCGTTCACGGATTCTTTCTGTGAATATCTCACTCACTCATACTGGTTTACTGGTAGAGAATGCCTATGGCATTAAGTCCGCCGATTTGGCAATAAAGTAAATAAAATAAAATATCGATTCCATGCATGTAATGTAGATACTGAATCACAGGACACAGAAAGAGGTTAGAGCCTTCTAACCTCTTTCTGTGTCCTGTGATTAAGTTCATAAACCGTTTGCACGGGAGCCGATGTCGCCGGCTCCCCCCACTACATTTCCAACTAAACGATAATAGCCAATCAATCGACGCGACATCAAACAATCGAACCAATGAGCGCTTGCCGGAGAGCAACATGCAATCATAACCAAGTTTTGGTCAAGTTATGAGTATTTGCTCACGCATTACTGTGTGGTTCAACTGCACTGCCCACAATGCCCTTCTGACCTCTTTCTGTAGTCTATGGTCTCAATACAGATAAAATATGAAAATATAATAAAGAAATTATTTGTTCTAGGTTTAGACGTAACAGCTCTATGTTACGGCGGAGTGCTTCGCTTCGCAGCCTCCGTTGACAAAGCCTTGATATCCAACCCAGACCATCTTTCTTATATCCTGGACGGTATGGTGGCTGAGATAAAAAAACTGCATAAGCAATATGCGCAAAAGTGAAGGACAAACGTTTGATTGGAACTGGCATTGCAATAACATCTCAGTACAAAGGTGATTGATTTTTTTCGTTTAAAACTGGAAATACCTATCTAGATTTATAACTAGATATTCCTAAGTTTTATCTAGGTAGATATGCACAAATAATAATTATAATTGTAAAAGCAAACAAGAAATTATTCCTACCACATATTTAAATTTTCGGCTTCAACAAAATTTCAAGTTATTTAATGATTTTTCAGTTACTTATATTAAATTTTCGTAACATATTTTTTTCAAGAGAAATATTCTAAAATACTTTTTTTAATGTATTTGTTTGCAGATTATGGAGATAGTTAATGAGACTGCCAATTTCACAAAGTACAAGTACCTATTTACCTACAATTAATTTAAAATACAAATGATTTTTTTTATCTGTGGCGTAAGACAATATTAACCTTCTTAATAAAATAATAAATGAAATATAATTTATCTACAAATTAGTTTTATTAACAACCTTACCATAAAAAATCTTACAAACTTCTTAAAATATTTAAATACCGTAAATATTATTTCAACTAAGTTTTTCTCATAAATACTAGTCCTGGTTTAAGCGATTCTAGCTGGCTCTTTAGACGAAGATTTTCCAAGTAGAGAAGATTGCATTTTCTTATCTAAAATTGAAAAAAAAATATATCATAAGAGATAAATGCTTTACCAAAAAGTTTAATATCTTTCTTGAATATAAATAAAACTGAAAACATCTTCCATCTAAGTCATTTCTACCTAATGGTAAACAATCATGTTATTGCCTACCTACCTGATGTTGTAAGCGGCCACCGTAGCCTTACACATTGATAAAAAAAAATGATACCTACCAGAATACATACTTCTTGCGACGTCACCTACCCTGACTTTATCTACTAAACCCTAAGCCGTGAAGCCTTAGGGCTACGCAAGAGCGGACGCGAGCTGCGAGACATTTGAGAAATTGGTATTTGAAAAAACTTCTGCTGTCGCGTATTAAATACAGTGTGATGGGGACAACAGTAGCTAACGCTGAAAATTGCGTATAAAAATTGCATAATTCGTGGTTTTGCTTTCGACGATTTCCTCATCGAAACTTAGATATATGTAAATAAAATTTTACCCATAGAATAATAAGAAGTTATACTAAGCCTCTACGTTTTTTTTGTAAAAGCTTATTGAATCTCCACACAAGATGTCTTTAGTGGTGACAAAAAACTTGATTATTATTTGCATTTTTGAGGGCTTCTTGTTTCTTTGAGAAACAAGTTATCCAAAACAGGAAGACATAGGAGCATACACTGAGTAACATTATATTTTATGTATGAAAATCACTTCTTTAGTGATAAAAATCAAGGTGGAATCAGTCGACAACGTTTGTATTGTATGGAAAAAACATTGCCTGCCTCCTCTCATAAGAGGGCACGGAGCGGACGTCCGCTCCGCGTGCAGTTTCACGTTATTTCATAGAACAGTGCAGCGACGACGGGAGACCCACCTCACGCAACTTTGCTCTATTAAATACAACGATATTAAATATCATTGATGAAATAACATAAAAATAAACGCGTAGCGTAGCGGACGTAGGCTCCGTGTTCCCGTTTAAAGCAGCGCACACCCTTACTCTCCGACAGAACACAACACCACCAAAATGAAATGATGCTTTTGTTCTGACAACCCATTGCTGTTTTCGAATTGAATGAAAAGAAAAACAGAATCTGGGATCCATAACATTTATGTCCAGTTATCCCGTGAGTTGACCGCCGGCAAGGAAGTGACTAAGTAACTACCTATGCTTAAATTAATAGTTGATCGCTGTCTGTTCAGTGTTACACTGCCGGCAAGAACTCGTTCCATCATGTATCTCTTTTGTTTACACGGAATGTATATCTATTATATTGTTTTAAACTTTCATGGTCACTATCATTATAGAAATTTATGTTATTTAAGGGATTGTTACCATGTAACTTCAGTTACTCCGTCATAATGGCGCTTGCAACAGTGCCGAATCGAATATCGGAAACTCGCTAAAAACAAGGTACATGGTAACAATCCCGTAAATCGTAATTAACATAATTTTCTATTATGTAAGCATCAATTGTACGTTTCTCGAGCGAGAAAATAGCCGATAGTTAGTCGCTTACTCGCCGGCGGTCGCACAACTGAAATTCATTATCTTGCTGCTAGGATGAGGGATGCTTCTGTTCCATAGCAGATAACCTTGTTTGAATGGTTATTATTCCACGCTTTTAAAAACAAAGCAATGAGATAGACAAATAAACATCTCAAGATTGGAAATTATAATGTCGTAAGAGCTATCTTCGATATGGTTGATATCGCTGCCCGAAGCACCTACGGAGTATATCCTTTCTCATTCACTCCCTATCTAGCGTAGAAGGCATTTAAAAATAGATCGACACAAAATAATGTCACTTCAACCTTGACAGTAAATAGTGCTCAATTGCTCACGTGTTGTTAAAGGCCAGTAGTCATTGACTTTATTCTGCTATTACATAACTAAAATGGGCAAAGTTAGTTACCTACTAGAATTTACAAGTATGAGACACTTCTCATATTGTAAATTCTAGCCCCAGGTAATAATAATAATAACTTTATTGACACGTTAAATCTGCCTATAGTTTTCCAAAACTGTGTTGCAGAATTAACGCCCACGCATTAATTAGGTACCTGTATATCTTACCTTAAACAGACGTTTAACTGTTGAATCAAGCAACAAGCAAGTTTAAGATGACCTCAGGGGTGAATAAAGGCGCAATTACACATGGTCGTTAAACCCTTATTCGGGTATTCGGGCCACTATGTTCGCGAACTAACTGTGCTCCGCGCATCTGCAACCGCTCTGATGGAGACGGTAAGCGCATTTCCATAACAAACATGCATGTTCCACAGTCCTCTTGCGAACATTGAGTCAAAATATCGTCACCATTAGTGGCTATAGTCCGGCCGCTCAGAGAATGCGTTTCTGATAGGTCAGTTCCTTATGACGACAGAATAAAGTACACTTATGATCTAATAAAAAAAGAGGTTCGAAAATTAATTCTAACGCTATCACCATAAGGAACTGACACGACCTGTCGCAATCTCTGATCGGCCGGACTATAGTGCAATATTTTCTTCTTGAAGACTATAGAAGCCCTCATCACTTTTTTGTAAACTGCAATTTACAAGAAAAGACGTCTGAATTCATTGGAGCTGAAACTCAAATCTCAGGAATGCGTGGAGCGTGAATACACGACACGTACGCACTAAACGTGGTATTTTGCTCGCGTCCACGAACAAACTAGAGCTCTCATTTGTGTTTGCCCGAAAAACGCCCCCAATTGGAGCGCTCACCTTTGCACGCTCCAGTCCTCGTAGCATGATCACCACAACTTACACTATATCACGTTTTTTATCGCGTCTAACTGCCAAACTCCATAGTAATTTGACATTTGAGCGTGATAAAAACGCGATACATATCATAATGCGGTGCTCATGCTAGGGGGACAGGAGCGCGAACGTATTCACTGTGCGTAGCAGTTGCAGCTAGAGGTTCGCTTACATAGTGGATACCCGGCTTTAAGAATTTTGAAGTTATTGTATCTAATCAGATAAAGCTGTGTAGGGAAGCATTTTTTGTATACGAGCCTATCTCATCTCCCCTTATTGACCATTACGTTCCTACAGACGACCATTGTTTTCTAGCAACAGACAGAATGTTGAGCCGGTCCCCCAACCAGGTCATGATTAGGAGAATAACGCTTCTCTTTCATAGATTGACGGATAATGATTTTCAAAGCCCGCCACTTTTCATGGGTGCCGAGCGCCACTCGCCATCATTACATTTTGACCACAAGCTATCCTTGAGAACCCTAGAGAAGCTGTTTGCTGGCACCGGAGCCAGAACTCCCGAGCAGGAGGATGTCCGAATGACCTTGGTCGCTTGAACATGTCCCTGGTCGCCTGTGGCTTTCCTCCTTTCTCCTAAGACAGGACCGGGAATCTCGGGCTTCGGGGGATAGGGAGATCTGATTCCCACGCTGATGGCGAGGAGAGAGGGATGAAGAGAACTACGCTCCCACTTCCGCTATCCCGGAAGCTAGTAGGCTGGTGTGGTAGCGCCTGTCTGCCTTACACGGTTCCTGTGATGGGTAGTGCCCCTCATACTCCGGGGCACCGCACAACATGGCGGGGAGGGGTGCCCAGCAATGGACAATCACCATATGAATGTGAGTGGTGCGTGGCCAGTGTCTTGTAGGGCGCCACGTCACTACCCACACTTCCGTCACGCATTAGGGGGACCTAGGTCCTCATAGTGCATGTCTGGTGACCGGTGCAGGAGTATTATCTGTGTTTTACTGGGTAGGGCCTTGTTCATTTCGCCTCTGGACTGGGGGGAAATTGGCGGGTAGATGTCTGATACCTTGTTCGCGCTAAACCCGGTTTAGAGAGGCGTAACTTCTTTTCCAGATACATAAAAGGGTAATGATTGCACACATTGTCTAAAAACGCTTCTAACTTCTCACCTCGGCTAGGAGTTGAGCCTTAGGTGCGTCCTGTTCTTTCTCCATGAAGCGAGAGATGCGAGTGTCTAGCTCGAGGCGCGCGTGCTCACACATAGCAATCATACCGCGAACAGTCGCCTTTAATCGCTCCGTATATTTCTCGAACTTTTTCTTCTGAATAAAATAAATTATAAAATTAAAATAAATCATTAGCCTGTTCTAACACTCGCATCAATGAGCCTAGCTCCAAAGTAAGCACTGTAAGGATTGTGTTATAGGATACTAGGGTAACGGATAGAATACCTGTACTTACTGAACAATTTAAAAGTATTTTTATCTAGAAATATAAACATTCATGACTTAGTTATTAAAGCTCGTATTTATCATTCTAACATTTGCCCCACCGGGATTTGAACTCGGTTACCTCTAAGGCGACGCCTTGACACCCGGCGTACATTCTACTTGGCCACGGAGGTCGTCATTTATGTATATTTATGTTCCCGAGCGGCTATACCTAACACACCACACCGATTCACTATCATTTGGTGAGTTCTAAAGCATGCGGATGCAGCCGGGGGCCAATTGCTTTAAGTACTTTTTGGACCATAGAAGAGCTCAAGATTAAACCAGATTAGATTAGAGATTATTATCACCAGGGTCGGATTTAAGTCAGGGCAGGCGGGGCTGTGGCCCAGAGGCCCCCAAATTAAAGATAAATCCGACCCTGAAATATCACCCAAACCTAATCGATAACAGGCCGAATCCTCTACAGTTCGTAATACCCACCAATTTGCACTTGGGCCCAGGGTTCCATTTATTTGATTCCATGCATAGTAAAGGTCTGGACGTTATCAAAAGCATACAGCAACATTAACAAGCACTTTTAGTATGAATAATGAGCATGCTCGTCAAACGCAAAAAGTCGCCTAGAATGAGGAGGAAAAGAAGGAGGACGAATTTGACACTGGTCCTGTCAAGTTATTGAAGTGGATTTCGCCCATTGTTTACAAAAGTTTTCTAAGCCATGACACCAAACATGACCCAACACAATGAACGTTGAAAACGTTTTACTGCGTGCCTTGGTAAGCTAGCACTTCGCGCATTACCTTTCCTTCCCAGTATTACCCATATGACTATTTCATCAATCAGCTATAAGACGCCCGCTACTGAGTATAGGTCTCCCCCAAAGATCTTCAATTTGATCGGTTCTGAGCGTTCCGATTCCAGCAGCTTCCGCGACCTCCAATAGATCGGCGGTACACCTCTCAGTGCGGTACTCAAGAACCTTTTGCCCCAACGGCTCTCCTCGCTACACTATATGTTAAAAATCAATTTGCACCTGCAAGTGCTTCTTCTGCCAGAGGGCCAAATATTTCTCGCCGACGGCCAGGAGCGTCTTGTGCGCGTGCACCAGCTGCGCGTGAGTGTTCCGCGCGCGAACGCGAGAGCGAGTGAGAGCAGCGTCCCTCTCGCTCACCACGCTGCAGCGCTCGTCGTAAGCTCGCAGCAAAGCTTCGTAGCGCTTAGACAGCTCTTCGTATCTGTAATATGAAGCCTATCATAGCATAAACCATTGATATAGGGCGATGACTTACTGTGGCGACTATTCCCACACGAACAAAGAAATTTGGTGACTCATTTATTTGTCGTACTATTCGTAAGTGGAATTCTTAGCCCGCGCATGTGTTCACTCCTTCCTATAATCTGGGATTCTTGAAGAGAGGTGTGAAGAAGCATTTTTGGCCGGCAAGGTGAGGATGTAGCAGTTTATAACTGCTGTACCAGGTATCTTCGCGTTTGGACTTTATCACCACTTAACATAAGGTGGGGTAGAGTAATTTGCCTACCTGGCTATAAAAAAAATTACTGATGAGCTTCGGGCCTGTCCACATCTCCACGTCATGACGTCGTCATCGTGCAACGTTACCGGCACCGTTTCACGTTGACGACGTCATGACGTGCAGATGTGGAAAGGCACTTAAGACTATGAGATGAATAGTACCATTAGTACCTTACTACCAATTGACCCTATTCACAAGATTTGTTCAGAGGCGCAAGTACGAATTTTGATAGCTTCGTAATCGTATCATCATTGTCAAATTTTGTGTGGAAAAAGCTTGTTTGTTCTCTCGTCCGATAGCGGCGCTGCTTAAATTCGTGCTTGGGCATTACAGGAAGCCCTCGGCTTTTGATCGGCTGATTCAAAATTATGACGATGGAATACTTGGCTCCGAAGTAAAACCGAGTATATTTTTTATTAAGAAAACCAATACAGACTTAGGTATATTTCTTTTCTACATTTAATGTCTTCGATCAACAATACTGATCGAAGTTTCATGTATCTACGATATTATCCACCGTTTTAGGGTTACCGTACCTTAAAAGGAAAAAACGGAACCCTTATAGGACCACTTAGTTGTCCACCCGTCCGTAAGTCCGTCCGTCCGTCAAGACCGTTTTTCTCAGGAACGCGTGGAGGTATCAAGCTGAAATTCATATCTAATACTCATGTCTACTGTCCCTCAGAGCTGTGAAAAAATCAAACTTCTAAGCCAAAGCAATCAAAAGATACAACCGTTTATGCCGAAAATTTTTGATAAACCTGGTATCAAAACCTTCAGGGTTCTTCCCGTGAACTTAGAATCTAGAAATTTGGTACGAAGTTACTTCGTATAGTACAGGTAAAGGAAAAATTGCAAAAACCGTAAATTTTGAGTTACATCATATAATAAAAAATATTTTTGAAAATTTTAAAGTTACACTACCTCTTTTCTCATGAACGCGTTGAGGTATTAAATTCAGTTTGTACGGAACCCTTGGTGCGCGAGTCCGACTCGCACTTGGCTGTTTTTTTATTCTAGGCGCAGAAAAATACTCTACCCCACTTGATGATAAGTGTAAACTGCCTTTACGATAAGAACTACAGAGCAATTAACGTTATTACGGTATGTTTGGTATACCACCACATATTTACTTGGAGTTATTAATAGTTTTCGTCGGTTTCCTAAAAATTGGTATGATAATTGATGATTGGTTTCGAACTTATTTTCATTCGGAAATTGTTTATAACTCAAATTCTAGGTTGGTTATTTCTAGGTAGGTGGTAAAGGTTAGTACAGAAAATGGTATAAAACATAAATCTTACTGGTACTGGAGGCATACGATGCTCATTGTTGACCATGACTCGGCCAAGTCAACTTGACCTCTGGACGTCTTGGTGGATTCTAAAACCAACCCGTTGTTGTTAGCTTAATAGGTAGATAAGTACTGGTAAAAACACACTGACATGTTACTACAATCAAGGCGAAGAATGTGATGTATATCTTGTGCTACAAATATTGCTATTATCATGTAGGTAATAAATGTGATCAACGAGTTCTTACTGTGTCAAGAACATCTAACGTATTTTTAGGCTTTTTAATTTAATTCTAAGTAAAATGAAAGGTAGGTACCTAACACAACGATATTAAATACTCTAGATACACCAATCGAAGAAAATCGTGCCCGAAACCTGGTCTAAAGGTACATTGGACGACCCAAGAAGCTCCGTAAGATGATCGCATAGTCAAAAACAATACAAGACATTATTTGAACATTGAAAGTCACCTTTAATGCTTGCTGTATAATGTATTAATCAAAACGGATGTCTCAAAGAGTTATGACAGTTCGAAATGCAAGCTCGTAAAATTTTACGACTTATTACTATGCAGAAGAATATTGAAAACCTTATTTTCTTTGATTCTACGCGCACGGACGGCTATATTACCGACCATGCATTTGAATATCACAAATATTTTCAATTAAATCACTTTATAGTAAGAATTAGAACAAAATTTGCTTCAAATGCGTTAAATTAACATACGTTGATTAGATACCTGTCCAAAAAACGACACTTTACATACTCTATGTATTTTTTCGCATTTTTTCACGGAGCTCTGCGGCAAATTGACTTTTCAACGGTCCGCGCGTGACTGTGAAGTTGAACCAAGAAGTGCTTGAGTGGTGTTCAAGCATAGCATAGGGACACATTTTGAGCGCACGTGGTTTATCTAGGGTATTTAATATCGTTGACCTAACTAACATTATACTCTAACTCAGGGCATGACAGGCGGGGCTGGGGCCCAGGGGCCTTTTCATAAGAGAGGGGCCCCTACAACAGAGACAAAAAATAACAAAATTTTGACCGGTCATCAACCAGGAGGAGGGGTGCAATAGTAAGCAGCTCGTGGGAGCCTCCACACCTCTAAATCCGGGGTTAACTCCACTGTCCGTCTGTCACCAGACTGTATTTCATGAACCGTAATAGCAAGACAGTCCCCCACCAAACCGTATTGGGCTCGCGTGGTGGGTCATGACCCAATCTCTGTATTCCATCCACAGGGAAGGCCTGTGCAGTGGGGACATTAATAGGCTGATGATGAATAGCTAGACAGTAGACATTTTCACAGATGACATTTTCTGTTGCCGCTATTACAACAAATACTAAAAACATAATCAAATAAATTTGTGATGGGGCTCGCTCCCGTACAATACCTAAATGTGATATTTTTGCCTTTTTTTAGCTCGATATTATAATGTAGTGTTTAATGTAATGTTGTATAGATAAAATGGTACAAAACCTTTTCGTGTACGAGTCCGACTTGGACTTGGCCGTTTTTAAGTGGAATTCTAGAATCTTGAGTGCTTTTTACCGACCTGTATTGTTAGTTCTATAGTCTTTCTCGTAAGACATATTATCGCTTGACCAGCGATCGTCGTGGGAATGTGCATGAGTCGCCTGGCATCGCAGAAGACGCGCTTCATATTGTACAGTCTTCGCAAAGCTTCGCTCCAATCCTTCTAGTAATCTGCGAGCATTCTGCAGCCCACTAATAAAGTTCTTCTGGCCGATGGGATTTGACTACAGAAATGATGCAAATCACGTGAAAGAAAATCTTAACATGCAACATGGGCACGCAGTAGCATAACGTGGACTTTAGGCAAATTTGGCCGCCCTGTGTTGAGCAAACTCCGAACAAAATACATACAATACCTATTGATTGTACAGTTTTGGTAACTGTTATATTAATTTAGCACCCCCGATTTGCCATTACAATATGGATATTTCCTTAAAGTAGTAAATTTTGCCGCCTAAATAAAAATGGCCGAAACCGGACACCCACCGTTCCCGGTTTGCTAAGCTACTGTAAGCTAGTGCTTGGAAAAATTATGGATATTAGACTTCTATATTAAATACCTCTATATCAAGTGGACCTAGGTTGCGGAGGAAGCCGCTGGAAGCGAACAGCGCGGGACCGATCGATGTAGATATTGTAAGAGGTAGTCCTTTTTAGTATAAGGTACTTGATACAAATAAGGCCTACCTAATTTCAAACACTCATATCATGATAAATTATTCGAAGAAGGTGATAAATAAAAGCAATTCATTATTCTTTGGTTTATAAATTTTAAGTAGGTAATTAAGAAAACATATTACAATCTATTATCAGAAATCACTCAAAAAGAGCTAGTTCTGGGACCTTAGCCTTAGGCCTTTTTAAGACATAGTGACTTAACAAAGCCAATGTACTTATATTATAGGAATATTGTTATTTGAGTATAAATTATATTAAAATACAAGCGTTTGCCCGCGACTTCGTCCGCGTGAACTATGTGATTCTGGTAGCAAATTTTTACCAAATCTGTATTTTCACCAATCTGCTTACTATTTAAAAAATATAAAATTAGTAGTTTTATATATAAAACAAAAACAACTTGTCAAATTCGGTGTAATTTTAAATTAACAAAGCGGGACATTCCCTGCGCAATACTATGAGTGCAATTCAAGATCCAGTATTTTGTAAAAATATACATAAATCCTGACGTGGCTCAGACCGGTTTCAGAGCAGAACAGAGAAATTTAAAAAAGTATTATCAAAAACCTAAGATGATTGTCTAGTTTAGAAATAAGGTACTATAGCCGGTAAAAAGACTACTTAATGATGTGATAGCTTTAGAAGGTTTATCAGTATTATTAGTTAAAATTACTGTGATTCATACGGTCAGAATTGTGGCTTCTACTACGTTCCGGTGCAAAGCTTTGACTTGCAACCTAGTGCCCTTGCAAAGTTTGGGTGACTTTAAATTTCTTAATAACATAACAGGTGTACCCACACGCAGTAAAAGTCTGTGGTATGGCAGACCCAGGGGGCTCAAAGTGTTTAAGAACAGTACCCTTAGCACGAATCATTATCGTATTCGAAAGATTCGATCTATTTTATACGTCAAATGTGTACTGATTTTCAGGTCTCGTTACGCCCGTTGTGGCGCTGCTGTTCAAGTTTTCAAAAAAAATTGTCATTGATATTTCAGACTCGCAAACTATTCGAATTCGATATCGGTTTGTGCTGGGGGTACTGTACTGGACAATCAACGGCATCGTTTGTGTTTACTGAGTTATAAATAATATGTTCCACTTCAAAGGAGTTCATTAATGACCGCTGCTTGGTCGTTCTTTGGGGTTAGTATAGTTCTTTTGCATAATCACTCTATTTTTCCGAGGTGAGCACAACGTCTGGATACTTTTTTCAAACCAGGTTTTCAACTGTTGTTACTGAAGTACCTACACAGATCGGAAGGACAGATAACATGCCATCTTTTTCTGGTTAATCACCAAGTTACCCAGTTTAGCAAAAGATCCGAAAATTGGCTACCGGAAACATCAACTCCAAGGTGGACTCCCAGATATTTTTTTATTTAAAAAATTTGACTGCCCTCAGTCAGTGATTATCTGTTAAGACACGCTTTTATCTCATCGGCACATGTTTCCCTTGAAACTAATGGTAGAGTTTGACGAAAGTCTCCTGCCTGCAATACAGTCAAACTACCCATCAAAATTTTGTTGCTGCGTAGGTCTTGCAGAGTCAAATTCAATAGAATTCCTATTAAAGCCTATGGTCAGAAATAAGGTCTATTATAAAAGTAGGCTTTATTTAGTACATTATACTTCATAAAGTTATAAGCAGTATTTAATTCGCATATTCTAAAAATTTTAATTTAAAGTCATTTATAGTTAACTTTTTGACTAGTTATATTATATATTATAGGTATACATTAAATGAAACAACACTTCAAAGAATAACGCAAATTACGACATATTAATAACGCGCTATGAAAACGCCCGTCCTTCACAAAGTACCGGCCACTACCGTCACTATGAGCTTGAGCGGACCGTTCGTGCACTTTCAGAGTTGTAGAACTGTCGTCTATGCGTGTGTAAAGTATGTTTGATGTAAAATTATTTTAAAAGACTTCGGCACTACAGGCCTTATTTCAGCATAGGCCTTATTTGTATCAAGTACTTTATTTCATCTTAGGTACTTAAATTAACAAACAAATATTCATACATAGGTAAGCAGTTAAAAAAGAGGTATTTTCGTAATTTTATATGAGATTTAAATATCAGCATTCTAAAAGAACTTACCGTGAAATCATTGAATTTTACATGTTTATTTTTTTCTGGTGCGAATGTATTGTTCTTGAATTTATTAGAGTGCATCAGATAAATCAAAATTAGAAATGAAATTAATAAAATTCATAAAAAACTGTAACTTCTTTTCAAAACCATTTAGTTTGTCAAACTGTGTCAGCGTATGGAGTATGGTCAGCGTAGCGACAGAGGCGACCACAGATTACAGAGATCAAGAGAGGCGACGATCCTATGTTCATAGCTCTGAATAAGGATTTAGGAAGGACACAGTAAATGCAAAACCACAAAAACAAAAACTTACGGAGCCTTTACCTACGCAAGATAGATTATTTTATTATTTATTAAAATCAAATCATCAAAATCCGTCTATAAAAGTCAAGAGTTATAAAACCGGCCAAGTGCCGAGGAGGGTTCCGTACAAACCTGTAGGTATATTTTTTTTTTATAATTATTACAAAATAATTTTTATTATATGATGTAACTAAAAATTTACGGTTTTCGCAATTTTTCCTTTACCTGTACTATAAGAAGTTGCTTCGTACCAAATTTCAAGATTCTAAGTTCACGGAATGTACCCTGTAGGTTTTGATTCTCGTGCGAGTTTCGAAAATTTGCGGCATAAACGGCTGTATCTTTTGATTGTTTTGGCTTAGAAGTTTGATTTCTTCACAGCTCCAAGGGACAGTAGACCTGAGTATTAGATATGAATTTCAGTTTGATACCTCCACGCGTTCCTGAGAAAAGCGGTCTTGATAGACGGACGAACGGACGAACGCACGGACGGACGGACAACAAAGTGATCCTATAAGGGTTCCGTTTTTTCCTTTTGTGGTACGGAACCCTAAATATAGCAGTTTTGAGTACTTTCTCCCTTTTAAAGATGGTTTTAATGTAACAGATTAATCTGTTAATTTAAAGTATCAAGCCTATTTTGTCTCTAAAATGTCAGTGTGACCCCTTATGTTATTCTGCTGCGCTTCAGTACCAAAACCCGCTTGGGCTTCCCTATTAACCACACTTATTATTAGAGGTGTCAGTATTGTATAATAGGTAACAGTAGCGCAAGTTTAATGGTTTACCCATCTTAAAACGCCCAATGCGCAGTTTTCACTATATCAAAAACAAAAACAAAATAATGTTCTTTGTCAGACGGTTTATTCAACTACAACAAAAAGCATAACTTTTAAAACTAAATCAGTCTAAAAATATTCTCCTGCGTTATCACACTACTATAATCAAATATTCCATCTAAAAGGATAAAAACTATACTACATTTCGTGTGTTTATTGCTTAATGCAAAAAGTAACACTGTTTTATTATCGCGTTATACCAACTTTGCACATCATCATTGCTTTTAAATAATCCAGTACATTCCAAGTTATACTTTCTCACCTTTTAAAAAAGGTGAGTTTCGTTTTCCAACGTACTAGGCTATGTAAATAGCAATGTAATGTACAAATTCGGTGAAAAATTATAACAATAAAATTATGACATATTGCGATTTTATGCCATTTGATGGAAACATAACCAATATTCCAAAGATTTGTACGAATCATGAGACATGATCACATGAGAAATGTATATTCCGAAATCGGTTGTATATTTGGGATTGAATAATTTAATTGTATTAAAAATTAAAAACAAATATTAAAAGAACAATTCTAATTTTCTCAGGACAAAAACTTCTAAAAGGAACTTGGTATTTTTTTACTCAATATTTCTCATTATAGTTGTGTTAGACCAATGTCTTTTAAAAGTGCTGCTGTTTAATTTTCAGAGTCAGCGTTAACGATTTCAGAATATAATCTCTCCATAACCAATCAGAACTAATGTTCGTGCTCAAAACTGTACAAATAAAATTCGCTTTTTATTTGAAGATACAAACAAAATATTTAGGCCTTTCAAAAGCTTTAAAATTCATTTTAGACATGTACATAAAATTAACAAAATTAAATAGCAAATTTTTTATAATGTAATAGACATTGCATTTCATTCATATATGCGTTGGCATTTGCAAATTTGCGTTTTGTGACTGTTAAGAGCGTTTATGCAACTAATTAATGTTTATATCATGAACATGATTCTGCATGTTTTCTTCAGATTTTTTATCATAATTTATCAATAAAAATGACAAAATACATGAATAGATTGTCAAGGGAGATCGTTAGATCTTCCATTCATCATAATAACAATTAGATTCCTATTTTAATTTATAACATCTGGAAGACATCTCAGCTTGTTAGTTGTAAGCTTTAAGAAAGAGTTCAACAAGGCGATACAATATTTAATATTCAACAACAAAGCTTTAGTTAAACGGGCGTTATATTTTTTTTTCAAATAAAAATGCACATAGTGGCAATAACTTATCATTAAGTTGAGTCAACTAAACATATGTTGCTTTTATATAGGCACCTGGGTGACAATTTATCATTATTAATGCTACTAACATGAAGATCGGTGGAACATTTAATTTGGGGGATTCGTGATAAAAAACAAATTCAAACTTTAGACATTGTGTAGAACTTACTCAGCAGTGTAACTAAGTTTCATGTAAATGTATTGAATAACAATAACGCATACTTTCTTGTATAAAAATGCTCATGTAAAAGAGACCAATACAAAGATATTGGGGATTTTATTTTATAGTAAAATTTTATTTAATTTCATTATATTCAATTTTTCAAATAATTTATTTTGAAAGAAAATAATCAATATGAATGCTGCCAGATTTGTTTAAGTACATTTATGAAAAATACTATGGATAAAGTTCCCTTTTATATTTATTTTTTAAAAAGTGCACAATCTTATTTTGTAAAATCTGACAATATTTGTGATGTTTTTGTGAAATTTTTTGTTATTAATTTAAAAGAGTAAAAACGTAACAAATAAAATTCTGTACAAAATGAATGAATAAAAATGAAATTTAACTGCATAAAATATATTGAAGGGTTCATGAATTTAAAGCATCCTGTAAAATATTTTTTGTGACTAATGATTTTCTATGAATATCGAATTGATTTAAATTTTTATCACTGAACTATTTTAAAAAGTTGCCAATATATCTTTGGATCTTCACACATTCATGGTAGAATGCGATTTAACAATAAAGCTGTAACATGATAAATAAAAAACTCTATGTATGATAACAAATTCCCATGATTTAGCAACTAAATACTATGTAAATTCTTTTTTGTGGAGTTCTCTTTGGTTTCAATATTTGTTAAATTGCAGTTGTTTTAAAAATAACACTTTATTCAGCAACAAAATCCTAAAAGTTTTTAAAACACAACAATCTTAAAGAATATTGGTTTGCATTACATTAACACAGATTTTTAGCTGCAAAAAGATTTTGAGCGTTCAGAAATTTTCACTTAAGATATGAAATTGAGATCCACAATTAACTGTAGATTACTAAATTCTTTCTGTGCTTTTTCTATGTTTTTGTTCTCATGCATCAATTTATTTCCGATTTATTTAGTCGTACAATTCCTACAAAATATTGTTAAAAGTTAAGCATTACACCTTCATCGTAACGCATCTGCCATGAGACAATAATTATCAAGTTAATATTACATTTTTTTACTGTGTATAAAAGTTTTTAATAATGATTTTTTTGGTTATTTTACAAAATTTAGTAAACTGCAGATGATTGTGACTTACGCTACTGCAAACTCTTATGTTCCCATGAGCACTGTCAGTCATTCATTGTTTCAAAGCGAGTTAGTGATATTCTGGAACAGTCTCTTGCCCCACCACGTCTCCAAGTCGAAGGGCTTGAAGTCCCGCAACACTGGGCTCGGTGTCTCATCCTGGTAGTAGAGATTTGATGGTGGAGCTGGTGATGAACTACCTGATCCTGATGCTAAAATGATGATAAAAAGTTGCATTATAATGTTATAGTTTTATCTATGTAATCAAATGATATTTTTGTTTCTATGTAAATAATTTATTAATAGTGGCCATCCGTAACTTAGTGTGCGTTGACTATAGTTTTCGAAAATTCCTCAGGAACCTAAAACATTTCCCGGGATAAAAGGTATCCTATGTCTCAAACCGGTTCATTAACTATATGCGTACCAAATTTCATCCAAATCCGTTCAGAAGTTTTTGCGTCATTAAGTAACAAAGTTAGAAACATACAAACTTTCACTTTTATGATATCATAATAGGATATTTTTTATTTTAGGCATTATTCTGCTCGCTTTATAAATCTCAAGAAAAGTAAAAATTTTGTAATAAAAAATTCTTTAGATATTTCTAACAATGGCAACTTCAGGAAGAATATTGGAAATTTGGATAAGAAAAGAAATTGTTAGATAGGGTATAAGCTCCCTATACCTTAGCTAACAATTTTGTTTATAATAATTCATTAATAAATTGAGAACCATTCTTAACTTGTCGCAGACCGAACATGTTGATTACTGCACCATCAGGTTCATCATATTATTGAAATTGCTTAAGATAAATTAGTACTTACCAATTGTACTAGTGGGAGTTGTTGGTTCACTTTCTCCATAAGCTGTTTGTGTCCAGGCTGAAATTTTTGCAATATATATATTTTTTTAATATAAAAGCTAGTGGGTGCCTGCGTGAAATAATTAATTTTGAATAAAAATATTTCCAATTCTATTTTTTTTTAAAAAAACAGTGGTCAGTATGGTAAGGTAGTGGCACCAATGACCGACCAGAAACAAACGATCAAAATTTTTTCTACAACACTGTGCTTTAGATGCTTGTGGTATCATATTTAGTGATTGGATACCTACTCTTATTTCTAATGATCACAGAAAAAATGTACGTCATTGGTTGTCGTCCCTCATTGGTCCCACTACCTTATTACAACGCCAAGACACCAAAATTCATCGAAATCTGTGATTTAAGAGTGAAAGAGTAATAGACAGGCAGGTGCGAAGTGGAATAATATCTTCTCTAGTGATACAGAATATTTCATTGCAATACCCATAATGAGAAACAGTAAAATCAAACAAATTTGGGATTGTATACATTTTGTTCTACTAGTATGACTAAAGGGAGAAAAACATCAGTTAATTTCAACTAGTAGAACTAAATGGATAAAAAACATTTTGTACCTCAATAGGAAATTGTAAAACTTGTCTATAACACCACTTATATAAAAAATCATTGTTGAACATAACAAAAAGCACACAATATGCAGATCAAAAGGAAAATTTAAAGTATTATAATCATCATTAACCAATAGCTAAAATATCTATGTACTTCCCTTTTTTTATTTTTTTTGTATGTTCTATTAGTTGAACAACTTTGATAATAGAACAAGTAGAAAAGTTTAATATAATAACAACAGAGTTGGGTATTCAGTATTTTATTATGTTTTAGGTCAAAACTGAAATGTAAAAAAATAACTAAAATTTTCTGGTGTAGGTACCAGGGCCACATCCTCCAAAAGAGGTATTTGTCTATTTAGTCTTAGGTACTAGTATTATCCATTTAGTTCAATTAAATGCATACTGCAGATAGTAGAACTAAACATTTTTTTTCACTGTTTAGTCCAACTAGTAGAACCGCACGGTAGAACTAAATCAATACAATTAAATTTGGAACATGATCAATTATAATATTACCTAGCAAAACATTAATTGCATCATTACAAAACATTCACTAAAATTAAACCCAGATTAAACCTGTTTTCCAAAAAGAAGACAGAGAGCTTTAAGTTTAAACCAATTCTAACCTTGGTACATGTTTTGGAATAAGGGAGTAAGGTCCTTATTAAGATCACTCTCAACGCTGAGAGCAATCTTGAGATGCTGTTTTGTATGAAAGTGGTATCCCAAAAACTAGTCTCAAAGTTGAGAGCCATCTGTTAATATGGGCATTAGAGTTCAAGTGGAATGCAAAAAGATTTTCAAGGAGATTTTACAACTGTTTTGATAATACAAGCTTTTGAGGCATGTAATAAACAAGGTGAGAATTATTATTTACATCAAGATAGATGTAGGAATACCTAAACGATTGTAGTTTCAGAGTTGAGAGTGATCTATTAATACACACCTAAAATGTAAGGTTTACAAATGGAGATAGGTAACTGCATAGTGTATTATTGTTAGAAATGTTAATTTTGCTTGCATTTTGGGGAATATGAAGTCAAACTTAAGACATTTAAAGCAAATGTAATAAATAAGACCCACACTTACTTTCACTTATGTATCTAATAATTTCTTCATGTTGTGGTGTAATCACATGATGTTGTATTCTCTGATGTACTGTCTTTTTGCCATTGGAATGAAATACTGGTTTAGGCATGCTGGAATAATATTCAAGATCATTAATACATTTAAAATAAACAACAAATAATGTCTTAGGAAAACTTATCTTAAATCAAAATAGGCACAGTTATCAAAGGAAAACAGTAAAGAGAATTTCTAAGATTTCTTTTGACATGTAAAGCGGGTGGCATAATAATCGAAACCCGCATGCATAAATAATAAACAAAACGCATTCCGGCTAAGAGGTTATGTAAAAACACTGATGAAATTAATTAGTATTTCCACATTGCATCATATAATGAAATATCAACATACTTGATGATTTCTCCATTGTCGGATTCAGAAGATTTCCTGTTATGATCTTTACGGCTATCCAATCTTTCTAAATTCTGTGAAAGGCCTGAAATCAAAGAAATTCAAGAATTTCATACCAGCAGTTATGATATCGCTGATACACAAACCAGAGACCTTTTGGTCATGAATAATATGCTTTACCTCTCCGGGTTTTGGCGACTATCTTGCTAGGACCTTTTGAGACAGTATACATTTTATAATTTCGCACAGAAATTAAAAAAATAAACGTAAAAGTCACACACGGATTACGAGACCAGCCTAAAACTGAATGTTGCCAGTAATAAGAAATAATTTCTGATATAGTAGAAATAGTGCTACTGGAAGAGGTGTGTATAATGGGTAAAAAATATATTTGAATTTATTTTTCTAGGTTTTGGTGTAAATATAACAAGTGAACCATCGTGGGAAAAATGTTTCCAAAATATGCATTGAAATTTATTTTTAAAATAAATAAAAAAATATCAGGTTAAAGCCATATAGCAAAAAAATTAGTTAGGACTTTGTGATCAACCTGATAATCGTTTATTCGCTGCAGTTTCTCTGAGTGACCACTAGACCAACAGAGTTCTTAAATATGTTTACCAAGTTGTTGTTCATGAACTCTTTCGATATATTTAGACAAAAAGAACATTTTGAAATATTATCTTCAATACGCAATACGCTTATTTATTGCATTATGCTAAAAAATACCATAATGCAATAAAAAACGAATAAATATAATTTAATGTATTTATGGATGTCAGGAATTACATTATTTTTAACTCACTCCAAAAGAGGACAAGCCCGATTCTAGGATATTTCTCAAATTTACATTTTGAATTTCAAACAACACAAATGCCGAGTTATGTGACAAATAAGTACAGTCGTTAGCACCCACCAATCCGCACTGGGCCCACGTGTGTGTCATGGCACAATCTCCCTATTCCATTCATAGGGAAGGCCTGTGCCCCAGCAGTGGGGACATTAATAGGCTGATGATGATGATGATGATGATGACATAATTCTTTAAATAAATAAATAAATAATAATAATAAATATTTCCAACACTCACACCAATTAGAATAGCCCCAAAGTAAGCACTGTAAGGTTTGTGGATACTAGGGTAAGGGATAGAATACATATACTGTACATATATAAGTATTTTTATATAGAAATACATATAAAATATCCATGACTACAGTACAAACGCTCGTGTTCATCACACAAACATCTGCCCACACTGAACCCGGGACCTCTCGAGCCAGCGACACCATGAAACCCGGCGTACAAACCACTCTGCCACGGAAGTCTTTTAAAGATTCTGTCAAAGGGCCGGTGTTTTTGAGTTACAAATGATATTATATTTAATTGCTTTAAACAGGTAAAGGTTTTTTCGTTACCTTACTATACAATGGTTAGAGTAGACAATGGTGTCGATTCTGACATGATTCTTTAAACCTAAACTTAAATTTGAAGAAGGAGAGACTGATGTTATATTTAGTTTTAAGCTTAGCGAATCATACCAGAATCGACACCAATGATTTTATATAGTTTTGTAAAATTTAAATTCTACACACTAAATTCTTCCTATTGACGTGACAACGTCTTAAATTAGGTTGCGGCTGGGAGTCACTTATGAAAAAGTGTAACGCTCGGTAACGTTACGATGAGTCTCTCGTGTTAAGTTTAAGTTTACATGTACAATGTTTTAGTAAACAAAATATATTTCTATAGTTAAAATTTGTGCAATTCTTATTTTCATTCAATTCCTTGTTCCTATTGTGCAATTTAATTATATTCATATCAATAAATATTCTACCGAGAAAAAGACGTTGTCACGTAAAATCTTCGCCCGTAAAACCGACTTTACAGGCAACCATTTTTATTTAATTCAAATGTAGAACTAATTTAGATTATGAAACTTCGTGAACGCAAAAACATCAAAACGGCTATCATAGTGTACCGTTACTATACTGGATGGTCATTTTACAATTTATGTTTTACCCCTACCCGGTAAAACCCTGAAACCACCTGAAAAAGTAGAGGTCTACTTTACAAGGTTTCAGGGTTTTACGAGGTTACTTCCCCAAAAGTGCACTCCGATTCGAGTGGAAAGTCTGTTAAACTCTGCCATTCTCATAAAATAAAAAAAAACGAGCGAGCCTTACTTATTATTACTATATTAGTAAAAAAAGAAATAAAACCTACTACAAAAGGAATAAGCCATTTGACCATTATGTTCTAAAATCAAATCAAGTAGCGCGTGCTTTCGCGACTTCCTGTTACTCACTTCCGTTCCATTTCACAGAATCACTCTCACAAATTACAGGAAAGCGAGAGGAAAGATGTTACACAACAAAAAGAAGTATGTAGGTATTTAATAAAATACAAAAATATAAATTATTTTTTTAGGTAATTTAATGGCAAGGCACCGTGTCCTACAATTTTTGTTTATTTATTTTCTTATGTCATATCAGATCCAGAAGTTGCTGGACTGGATAACTAGTTGTACATGTATTGTATTTGATTATTCAAGTACAAAATAATTATTTATAAAGTAGTTTTCCGTATTATATTTATAGCAACTTTCAAGCTGTCAGTCAACACCAGTCACTTCGCAAATAAATAACGTTCCATTTTACGTGATATTTAACTGACTATCGACGGAACGGAAGAGGCCGTACCGTGGACATTAATTTATAAATTGACGTAGTTTCATGCGAGGATAATGATTCTCGATATGCTTGTTTCATAACTAAGATACATTTTATTTATGGCATTGAAAAGTTAAACCCCTTGGTTAAACCTAGACAGCCATATTGCATTTTTGGTACGGAACGCGACTCTGGCTAGATAATTTGCACCTGCTTAGAGTTTTGGGCTTAGTAGTTTGCAACTGAGAACGCTCAGTTTAGTTAGGTCCCTATATATTACCATACTCTTTGGTTAGGTCGCCGCCCCTTAACGAACTAGTACGCTCTTCTAGATCGTCAGCACCTAGCTCGTATCAATGAAGGGCAGATCTTTCGCTCGGTTTGATATTACTCTGGCTAAATATGATTAGATTATGGATTGCTGTACTATTTTGTAATCTTAAAACAGCAAATACATTTGAATAAGTGGTACATATTACTGGTGATTAAAATAAACTACCTTTCCATAATTTTCACCTTATGTGTATGTTCTTGTTAATAACTTAACTTATACATAGATATGTGTGTCAATCACAGGGCCGATGTCTAAAAAAACCCTCTCAAATTTACACGTGTGTAATGATTTTCGTAACGACATACACACATTAAAAAAGTTTGCGATCACTTTGAAAAATAGATTGTTTTTTGTGTTACAGAAGATTTTTTTGTAATTTCTTTTTCTGTTAAGATTCTAAATTTTAATATTAGAATTAGAACGATAATCTAAATATTGATCAGCTTAATAGTTACTTTTCCGCTTCAAAGGCAACGGTACGGTAGCCGTCTAAAGGCTCTGTGCCTTTAAGGCTGCTACCTTACAACGTCTTTCAACTTTGCCAACTCAACATTCTCCTTTTTTCTTACATCAATTTGCTGTCTGTTATGTTAAGAGAACCATACAAATGATTCACTCCAGTGCAGTAGGTAGTGACTCTATTAGCCGGAAAATGATCCTTCCCATTCTTGACATCCTCACTCCTATAATTACTCACATCCTGAATACCTCAATTTCAACCGGTGTTTTTCCAGAATCCTGGAAAGATGCATATCTTATCCCAATCCCGAAAAAATCGAATCCTGCCTCTTTTTCAGAATATCGTCCTATCTCCATTCTTCCCTTTCTCTCCAAAGTTCTGGAACAACTCGTTTATCAACAGCTTGCAGCTTTTCTTAACAAAAACCAGCTCTTAAATCCATTTCCATCTGGTTTTCGTACGGGCCATAGCACGACTACTGCAATGGTTAAGATTTCAGATGATATCCGAAATGGTATAGAGAATCGACAACTGACTTTGATGACGTTGCTCGACTTCAGTAACGCCTTCAATTCGATTGACTTAGACATACTTATTGCCATCCTGCGTTCTCTCAATATATCTCCAGTGGCAATTGACTGGTTTCAAAGTTACCTGTTAGGACGCCGACAGCGTATACGCATTGAAGATAACTTCTCTACGTGGTGCGCCACCAATGCCGGTGTTCCTCAGGGTGGCGTCTTATCTGCTCTTCTCTTCTCAATTTTTATAAATTTTATCACACAGTCACTTTTCAGTTCCTATCACCTTTATGCCGATGACCTCCAGATTTACACACAGGCACCACTATCTGACCTTTCAGGTGCAATAAATACTACGAATTCTGATCTCCCCTTAATTAGTAGTTGGAGTAAGTCTTTCGGTCTTACTGTGAACCCCACTAAGACACAAACTGTAATCATTGGCAGCTCTTACTTTGTTTCCAGGATTGATTTTGAACATCTATCTCCTATTACTTTTGATGGCACTATTATTCCATGGCCAAGCACTGTCAAAAATCTTGGTGTTGTCTTTGATCAATGTTTTTCCTGGAGACCTCAGGTGGAGGCGATCAGAAAGAAAATTTTTGCTGCATACAAATCGCTCAACCGATTACGTAACTTTTTGCCGACCATCACCAAAATCACTCTGGCGCAGACTCTATTACTGACTATCATTGACTACGCTGATGCCTGTTATACAGATCTCACTGAAGAACTCTTAAATAAGCTAGAGCGTATGCATCCGATTTATTTTCAACCTTCGTAAATATGACCACATCTCATACTTCCGTTCCAAACTTAACTGGCTCCCTATTCGCCGGCGCAGGGACTTACACACTCCTACGCTTCCGTACTTTTCTTACCCACTTCTCCTCATTACCTAAAAGAACGCTTCTCGTTTCTCTCTTCTACTTCACAGCGCACTTTGCGATCTTCTTCTAACCTATCTCTTGAAATTCCAAGTCATTCTACTGATTTCTTTTCCTATTCCTTCTCTGTGCATTCTGTACGTCTATGGAACTCTTTGCCAGAAACTATTCGAAGGGCTCGCACTCTGAACTCATTCAGGAATCAAGTTCGGAGTTATTTCTTATCTCAACAGTGATGTAAAAAATTTCCTTCATCCTCTCTCTTTCCTTCCTTAGATATATCTGGGGCATTCCACAAGCGGCGGTCAACAGGCGCGGCGCTGGACGCCACCCTTCGGCAGTATTTTCAGTCTAGCTCCTAATCCACTTTCACGCCCATTATAAAAGTTGGCACCAATGTTCTATACAATATTAGCAATTTATATAAAAAAAATTAAAAAAAGCTAAATGGTCTAACTTGGTGAAAATCAAGGAAAAAAACTTAAATTGGTTTTTT